TTGATGATGACATAAATGACAATGGAGAAAGTTTTCTTCTTTTAATTTTTTTTTTCTTTAGGGCAAAATGAAAAAACAAAAAATTGAGGATCCGAAAAAGTTTTTCTCCTTTTTATCAGCTGATTAGGTTTGGTAGGAAAATCATCTTTTTTGTCATGCAAATTGAATTTTTCTTTCATTGTTTGACGAATTTTGATAGGGTAGAGATAGGGTTAGGATTACAAACCTCTTAAGAGATCCTGAGTAAAGCAATGACTGAACAAAGATTAAAATGTTATCAAGAACCTAGTTTAAGACCCGACTTTCCGATCGCATAATCTTCAACCCTATCTACAGACTTAAGAATTGAATTACAAGTCTCTAAAATTTTCTTTCAATGTCGAATAAACACTCCTTTTCTGAATATCATAAAAACATTCAATATTTATCCACAAATCCTATCTCAACAAGTCGGCACTTTTAAGTTCACTTTACAATTTTTTTGCTCTCTTTTCTTATTTATTTAGAAAAAATTGGCTTTTTAGAAGATGAAAAAAAAAACCCGAGAATTTATTGCTCTATTTTTTGTTTTGTGTCAATAACTTGGAGGCATCACATGAAAAATTCTGTTTTTGGTTGAATTGTTGATTTTTTCTTATCTTTCTCTTTAACTGAATATTATGTTTCATATTTCAAAAGAATTTTTTTTAATTGTTTAAATCTTTTAAAAATCTGGTACAAATTTGATGAAATCTAGTCCAATTATGATGAAATTTGGTCAAATTTAAATAAATTTATTTTAATATGTTATAATGTAGTTGAATTTGGTTTAATCTATTTCAATTTGGTTTAATCTAGTCCAATTTGGTTCAATCTAGTTCAATTTGGTGCAATCTAGTTCAATTTAGTATTATCAAGTCTAATTGGGTGAAATCTAGTCCAATTCGAAATAATCTAGTTTAACGTGGTACAATCTAGTCCAAATTTGTATAATCTAGTCCAATCTGGTATAATCTAGTTGAATTTGGTACAATATCGTCCAATATAATTTAACCTATTTCAATTTGGTTTAATCTATTCCAATTTGGTTTAATCTAGTCCAATTTGGTACAACCTAGTCTAATTTGCTTTAATCCATTCCAATTTGGTTTAATTCATTCTAAATTGCTTTACTCTAGTCCAATTTGGGACATTCTCGTCCAACTTGGTTTAATCTATTCAAATTTGGTACAATCCATTCCAATTTGGTTTAATCTAGTCCAATTTGGTATAATCCAGTCCAGTTTGATACAATCTAGTCCAATTTTATATTAAATCCATTTCGATCATGATGAATCTAAACCATTATTACTCAAAAATCTAGTAAAAAGCATTGAAAAGCATCAAAAATTGTCCAAAATTACAAGTAGAAAGAAATGCGAGTAGAAAGCTTAAGTAAATCTTTATCAAAATCCAGATTATCCAATTAAATGAAGATCTTAAGCAAAAAAAAAATTAAAATCCTACACAAAAATAAAAAAACAATAAAAATGAGCAAAAAAAAGAATTGCCGAAACCCGGGATTGAACCGGGGACCTTTAGATCTTCAGTCTAACGCTCTCCCAACTGAGCTATTTCGGCATATTGATTTATATTTTCATTCCGGTCAAATGCAATCGCCAACATATCTCATTTCTCATGAGTAAATCACGCAATGTTGAAATCTTATCAGTAAATGTGAACCGTTTACTAAAAATAATCTCGGTACTTGAACCTTAAAGGTCACCCAAAAAAGTTCTTTAACGAGGCAGAAAAAACAGAAATCTGAAAATTCCCATTAAACGTGTGATAAATTGAAAAATGTTCTACATCATACACAACATTAGTAACATTAAAGGCATGGAATGGGGGGTGGCAAAATGTGCTTTAGGCGAGGCATGGAAAAAAAATGAAAAATGCCACAAAATATTTCACGCATTGATGCTCATTGACCTACATTCTGTGAATTCTGTTCTTTTTTTTGTTACTTTGTCCTGTGTGTATTAGTGCGAAGCTCGTTCTTCAGTTTATAGAATCAAATCTGGCAGTGAAAAGTTATAGTGAGTTATGGTGACACATTTGAAGGGTGCAGTTGGGGCTTGTGCCAAAAAAATTCGGGATTTTGTTTCTATTGTTTAAAACTGTTAAGATTTAAAATCCTTAAAGCTGGCAAAAATTTGAATTTTTTCTAAATCAAAAAACTTTGAATTTTTAAAAGCCGTTTAATTTTGAATTTATTAAAGCCGTTAAAATATGATTTTTTCCAAGCTGTTGAATGTGAATTTTTCAAAGCCGTTGAAATTTGAATTGTTGAAAATCGTTAAAATTTGAATTTTTCAAAAGTTTTGAAATTTGAATTTTTAACACCAAAAAAATCATAAATTTTGTCAGAAACTTTTCCCAAACCCTCAACCAAACATACCAAAAAATTAATAAAACTTTTTTTATTTTCATGTTTTAACAAGAAACCAACAAAAAAAAGAAGAAGCACCAAAAAAAGTCTGTGGAAATGGAAGAAAATGGAAAATAAATCTACTGCAACGAGGCGTGTAAGCACGATGAGCGTCATATTATTATTATTACTTCTGTACACATTCATAGATATCTACAAACATCCCCACACTCACATATCCCTCATTTATGATGATGATAAATTGATTATGAGCCTTTTTTTTTTATTTTATTAGGGTGAAAATTAAAGACGAAAATCGCTCATTTTTTTCCTCTCTTTTTGATTGATGACTGCATTGCTTGATTTGTTCCGTTGTAATCAATGTTTATGTTTGGATGGAGATTATGTTCTGTGCTTGAAGAAGGGAGCAGGCCTGTCAGATGAACACGGTAGAATGTTTTTGGCTATTTTTAAACATCCTCGGTAATTTGTTCAATATTACGCGTGATTTTCTGACTTGATGGAATGAAAAATGAGTTTTTTGGGATTTTTGGGGGTCTATGGTTAGAATTGTTGAAGTTTTGATCAATTGTGGTGTTGATTGGTGTATTTAAAAGGATGCGTTGGGAGTGGGTCTGTAATATGAATGGCAACACTCGGAGTTTGCATCCAAAATAATGATTCGGGTGTTAAATATTTATTAAAAACTAATATAAAGATGTCCATGGGTCAAAAACTTCAAATTAATCCTATATAATCTCAAAAAAGCAAAAACTGCAAATCATCCTTAACCTCATCCGAAACATAATATTGCAGCATCATGACTGCATATCCTTAATAACTGAACTAAAGAAATTAGCAGATGAACTTATTCTACGTCATAAACAAACACATCAGCACATAAATTTTGTCTTAATTTACCAACTGAAAGACTTGACAAAATTCCCCATTCCGAATCCAGAAAGAATTTTTGTGTCCATTGTGATGACACATTTGTTCATTTATCAAACATGAAAATTCAACTAATTGAGATAATTCAACAGCAAAACATAAACAAAGAAATAAGCAAGCATGAAATTTTGTGCAGAATAAACAGAGATAATTTTTTGTGTTTGTCATGATGGCTGTACTGTACTGCACTGTAATTGATGCAAGGAATGGGAACTCTCTACTCTGATGGTTTAAAGCTTTAATCTCAAAATTGGATTTTTAATACAATGCCGATGTAGATGCTAGCCTCAAAAGTTGTCTATTCTAACCTCAAAAGTTGGCGTCTAACCTCAAAAGTTGGCGTTTAACCTTAAAAGTTGGTGATTCTAACCTTAAAATTCGGTAATTTTAACCTCAAAATTTGTCTATTTTAACCTCAAAACTTGTCTATTCTAACCTCAAAAGTTGGCGTCTAACCTTAAAAGTTGGTGATTCTAACCTTACAATTTGGTGATTTTAACTTCAAAATTTGTCTATTTTAACCTCAAAACTTGTCTATTTTAACCTCAAAATTTGTCTATTTTAACCTCAAAACTTGTCTATTCTAACCACAAAAGTTGGCGATTATGACCTCAAAGTTATAAATTCAAACCCAAGAATTTAGCAATTCTAACCTAAAAGTTTAACAACCATAACCTCCAAATTTGGCAGAGTTAACCTCAAAATTATTTAATCTAACCTCAAAAATTCAAATGCAGTGTCCCATCCACAGACTCATTTAATGCCCCCCATCCATCTCTATCTCCAGTCCAATCTAATCCAAAACAATGCAAAATGAATATAATTGTAATGGACATGCATGAGAGATAACTGGCATGGCAAGGATGAGTGAGTGAAATGGAGAGATGAAATAACGACGAGATAATCTAATGAAAACAAATAAATCCACAAAATGAGATAAACACATCCATTTATGATGATTTATTAAGGCAATTATATGTGGGATGTAAAGTTGAGGGAGTTTCTTTTGTGGATTGGAAGGTGGAAAGGTGAGTGATGGGAATGATTTTGGAGACATTTGTGGGGGTGGTTGTGGGCGGAATGATATAAAAGAGACTTGAATTTACTTAATTGAAGATATTTTTTGTAAGAATTTTTTAATTTTGAGGTTAGAATCGCCAACTTTTGAGGTTAGAATCGCCAACTTTTGAGGTTAGAATTGCCAACTTTTGAGGTTAGAATTGCCAACTTTTGAGGTTAGAATCGCCAACTTTTGAGGTTAGAATTGCCAACTTTTGAGGTTAGAATTGCCAACTTTTGAGGTTAGAATCGCCAACTTTTGAGGTTAGAATCGCCAACTTTTGAGGTTAGAATTGCCAACTTTTGAGGTTAGAATTGCCAACTTTTGAGGTTAGAATTTCCAACTTTTGAGGTTAGAATCGCAAACTTTTGAGGTTAGAATTGCCAACTTTTGAGGTTAGAATTGCCTCCTTTTGAGGTTAGAATCGCTATTTTTTTGAGATTAGAACTTCTTAATTTTGCGGTAACAATCGACAGCGTTTGAGGTTAGATTTAAATAATTTTGAGGTTAAAAAAGTCAAATTTTCAGGTAAGAATTTTGAATTTTTATTTCCTATAAAAAAAACCCGTACAATCCAAAGTCATTGGTGCAAATTCCTCACTATGCTGTTTCTTCTGACAATTTACTTGTGATTGTACCTTCAACTAGACCTTCTTCAGTGTCAGTTCTCATTGTTGTCTTATTGTCTCCATCACAAACGATTGATGAGTCATATTCGCAATGAAAAGAGGTCTTTTTGGTGCTGCAATCAACACTTTGAACCATAAAATCATTACTATTAGTTTTGATCATCATGACACATCCTTTTGATGACTTTGATGCCCACTTGTAGTCACTGTATACTTTAACTTTTGGATCTGTGAATGTTTTCAACTCATCGTTGTACAGTCGTGCATTAAAGAAGAAGTGCTGCTCAGTTTTTCGCTGGAAATGTAAATAAATTGAACTTTTGTACGCGTCAAACTGTTTAAGACTTCCGATCGTGAACAGCTTCATATTTTTATCAGCACAAACATTTGCAGCTGTTGATTGTCTGTAAGAGTCTTTAACATAACAAATAGACTTCATGTAAGACTTGTCAGGATATTCAAGGTCTTCTGTGTAGCTGCAATCTGTTAAGTCAATTGCATTTGATGGTTCAATAGACACTGGCTTAGTTGTTGTCTTTTTGCCTGAAGATGTTGTTGTTGTTGATCGTTTTGTGGTAGATGGAGATGACTTGGTTGTTGTCGTTGTTGTGGTTGTTGTAACCTTCGTTGTTTTTGCCGTCGAAGAAGATGAAAAGTCTAAAAAATTGAATTAAGAAAAACCGTTAAAAAATTGAATTTTAAAAAAATTCGGTAAATATTTAAATTTTAAAAATTTGAATAAAAAATGGTTAAAAATTTGAATTAAAAAAAACCGTTAAAAATTTGAATTCTCCAAAACCGTTGAAAACTCAAAAGACAAAAAATTACCAGGGATTCGGAATTCACAATGGAATGAAGTCAAGAAGTTACAGTCAACAACTTTAGGATTGAATGATCCTTGTCCATCGTGAGTCATGACGACACATCCAGTAGATGTCTTTGATGCCCATTTATATCCATTGTAGACAGGAACTTCAGGTGTTGTAAAAGTCTTCAAATTAGTTCTATAAAGCTTGGCATTGAAGAAAAAACTTTTATTTTCGTGTTGAAACCGAATAAATGTTAAAAATTGATATTTCAAGAATATTTCAGCAGATTCGATCGTAAAAAGCTTCATTTGGAATCTTTGGCAAAGCTGTGCAGCCATTGATTGATTGACTGTGCTGTTAACCCAACAAATGACTTTCTGTGCTGTATTATTAAGGTATGGTATTGGATCGGCGTAGCTGCAATTAAGGATGTATGGCATGCTTGGATATTGATGCGTCAAATTTGAAGGATTCTCAGTTCCTTCAGCTTTCAATGTGGCAAAACTGATGAAAATTATTAAAATTAGAATTTTTTGCTTCATTCTTGATTGAACTTTAGGACGTGTATGACTAATGTGAACATTTAAACTATTTTTGTGGATTTTTGCTGCGTAAAAAGTTTTCTTTAATCCGGAAATTGTAAAACCTTGAACAACTTTGAGTTTTTGTAGCACGTGTGTTCACTGTTCAGGTTGGCTCTTTTTCTTCAAAATTGAAATTTTAACGGTTTTGTAGAATTCAAATTTTTTAACGGCTTTGTAGAATTTGTAAAAATTTTGTAAATTTTAAAAACTTCTTTTCACAAATCGATATAATCATTTAATTCCTGAATTCCAACCCTGAATTTCTAAAACAATTCATACTTCCAGTAAACAACAAGCACTTCCACAAAAAAAAATCATACTTCTAAAGCTATAAAAGCAACAAAAAGTTCCCAAAAGCTCTTCATTCAAAAAAATTAAAAATGTTGAAAAAATTTCGGAATAGAAAATTTATTTTCCTGATTTTTCTGGCCGCGCTACCTTCGGCAGTTCCACAATCAATTCCAATCTCAACATTTGATCGAATTTTGTCAGACACTAACACAGCGATGCAAAAAATGGAATCAAAATTGTCAAATTTGCAAAGTTTGTCAGTTCCAAATGTTCAGTCACTGTCAGGCACAACAGCAAGTACAGCATCAAGTTTATCTACAGCCACAAACACTTACGGGAAGAGTTTGGTGGATTTTAGTTCAATTTTGAATTTTGGTTTGTACCAAAATGTGTCAGCATGCGAGGACATTAATATGAAAATATCCAGCATTGATTTTGACTTGCAAAAGTTTGTGGCACTTAACAGACAGGCATTGCAGAACTTTACGACATTACAGACTAAAATGAACTACATTGTATATTATTTTAGCATAAATTACAGCAATTTGACAGCTGCACAAGTGTCAACATACGTAACAATAGTCAATGAATATTATGCAATTGCCAGTGGATATGGCGAGTATGTCTGCATGCTGAGTATCGCGTTCAATAATGAAACGTATGTCCAAGCTAATTTGCAGTCATACAAGCGTCAGTATTGCATCTGTGCATCATCTATGACTGTAAATGTATCAACTTTAGAATCGAACCTTGCATACATCCAAAGCCCACTGCTTGCTGACCAGTCGAGACTTAAAGCAGCTATTGGAAGTGCCAGTATTGTCCTTACTGCTGCAATTAATGGAATTTCAGTCACAGCCACAACGTCGGTTGTCCTTAATTGCCTTCAAAATCTGTTGACATTTTTAATTAAAGCCGCAACTGTCAACGACTACGCAGCATCAACAATGACAACTTCCACTTCCTGTGCGGATATCCAAAAACGCGTGACAATGATCAAGGTCATGTATTTGTCATGTTCGAATGTTTATTCGCAAATTCTCGCTAATGCTTCCGTTCTTGATGTTTACATTGGTCCTGTAAATATCAGTCTGATTGCTTACAACTCGACATTTAGTCAGTCACAAAGAAACTTGTTGCAGGCTGCTTGCAATGCTTTAGGATATTTGAGAAGTTTGTATACGGATTATTATGTAGATATTGTTTATGCTAGTGCACGTTTTGGGAACATTCTTAATGATGTGAGTGCCATTGGCGATACTTATTGTGGATGTAAGAGCACCGGTGGAACTACTTTGAGTACAACCAAATCAACGCTTTTGACAACCATTCCTACAACTTCAACATCAATTCCTTTCACTTCGACAACTATACCTAGCACAACAACAACGATGTCTATAACAACGAAACCAACAACTTCAACAACCATTCCTAGAACTACAACAACAATCTCCACAACAACGGAATCAATAACCATTCCAACAACAACTTCGACAACTATTGCTAAAACTTCAACAACGCTTTCTACAACAACAGAACCGACAACTTCAACAACAATTCCTACAACTTCATCATCGATTTCTACAACACCAAAAACGACAACAACAACAACAACGGAACCAACAACAAAAACAACAGCAACAACAACAGAACCAATAACAACAACAACAAAAACAACGGAACCAACAACAACAACAAAAACAACAACAGAACCGACAACAACAACAGAACCAACAACAATTCCAACAATAACAACAACAACGGAACCAACAACAAAAACAACAGCAACAACAACAGAACCGACAACAACAATAGAACCAATAACAACAACAACAAAAACAACGGAACCAACAACAACAACAAAAACAACAACGGAACCGTCAACAACAACAGAACCAACAACAATTCCAACAACAACAACGGAACCAACAACTTCAACGACAACAATAACAACGAAACCAACAACTCTATCAACAATTCCTACAACTTCAACATTAATTCCTACAACATCAACAACGATTTCTACAACAACGGAACCAACAACTTCAACAACCATTCCAACAACAGCAGAAACAACAACGGAACCAACAACCATTCCAACAACAACAGAAACAACAACGGAACCAACAACTTCAACAACAACTACGACAACACCTTCAACAACTTCATCCACAATACCTACAAATTCGACAACAATTTCTCCAACAACGGAACCTACAACTTCAACAACCATTCCTGCAACTTCAACGACGTTTGTAATACCTTCGATAAATTCAGTAATGATTACAACTCCTTCGACAACTTCTTCAACTTCTACAATTATTCAAACAACATCAACGCTGCCTCCGATAACAACAAAAGCACCTAATTTGGCTGCATGTACGCATACAAGTTCACTTACTAGCACTACAGGTGCGTACATCAAGTCAATATGTTATGTAAAAACAGCATTAAATGCAACATCAGCAGCCAATATGTGTGCAGGTGCAAATATGAACTTCTTTATAATTGATTCAGCCACAACGTATACAGCATTTCAAAAATATGTTAATACTTATTTCCGTACTGGCAAACCAGGATTTTTGTTCAATGCTCGACTCAATGGCACTGTTGTATCAACTTATACAACAGATGTTGTAACTTTCAATGGATTTACAATCACGGGAACAGCTACAACAGGTTGTTTAACAATTGGACGAATAGCAGCAAACACTTTTACTGTTCAGGCTGTAAGTTGCTTTTCCTTAACTTCAACATTCCACTGTGAATATACTGACACGTTGCTGAAAGGTGAAGCTGCAACAACAACTGGAAAAAATATTTTTGGAGCTGCAACTACAACAACAACCAAAAAGTCAGCAACCACAACAACGAAATTAAAATCTAAAGCAAAATCCAAAAGTCGACAAAAGCGAAGTCAACAACAAAAATTAAAGGACGAGCAACAGCAACAACCCAATTTAATTAAATGCAATCATACTGTGGATTTACTGGATTCAAACAACAATTTTATTAAAACAATTTGCTTGATTCCAAGTCCAATTGGAAATAAAGCACAAGTTGCTTTAGAGATTTGTGAATCTTATGGCATGACATTACTTACACTTGATTCCGAAGAAACACAAAAAGCTTATTTTACATATTTTAGGAATTACATTGACAAAGACATAATCACAAAAGTCTTGATAAATGCCAGAAAAACTCAAGATGGTCGCGGACTTGTGACTGTGACGAAACCGGAAGTTCAAATTTTCAGCAACTACACAGTCTATGGACGTAATGGCTGTGTTGGAGTTTCAAAAAATGCCAAAAATGCTGTTGTAGCTATTTCTAGTGGATGCGCTAATAATAAAGGAAGTTTCCACTGTGAGTATGGAGCACCGACTCCATGGTTGACGGCAACAACTGAAACTCCAGCAACAATTGAAGAAACTGAAGAGGAAACAACAACTGAGGAAGTGACAACAACTGAGCAAGCAACAACTAAACCAACAACGAAAAGGCCAGCAATAAGAAAGTCAACAACGAAAATCACAACAACTAAAGCTGCTGAAATCACAACAACGAAAAAACCAACGATTAAAGCAACATCAAAGCCCAATTCAGATCCGAATGCAGTCGTGCCAACTTTCTCAGGCAGTGCTGGAAATCAGAGTTGTGGTAAGTCCATTTTTTAAATCCACAAGTATAAAAGTCACACATAAAGTTATGCATAAAGCGCATTTTCATAAAATCTAACCTTAAAATATATTTTTAATAAAGGAACATTCGTGCCTTACGACTACCTCAAAGATCCCCTCGCACCGACCAAAAGAGGCGTAAAAGTTGGAACAGCTGATATGCCGCCTACTTACATCGGAACTGGAAATGATGAAAAATGCAGCGGAATGACAAATGTGCCTGGTCACATTCTGGTTCCACCCAACAATCCCGTCTGCATGATTGTCTGTGACAGAGTTCAAATTGATGCAGACACACCAAAATTTTTGCTAAATCATCCAAAACTGGCATGGGCTGATAAAGGTAAAATACCGGGCGGTGCCAGTCTTGTGAAATCGTTGGACACGATCAAGTCTCAAACTTTCAGTTTCGGGAGAATTTTGAGAAATACAAAAAGTGGAACTGAATATAAAATTGGAGCAATTAATGGAGATGTGTTTTATTACAATATTGGATCTTTTAAGCAGATCAGCTTAAGTAACATTGCTTATGGACAGACTGGCTATCAAGTCTTGATCTGTAAACCTTAAAATTGGTTTAAAAGCTTTTTAATAAATCCACAAAAACACATTTTTTTATTAAATTCTTAGTTGCTGAAAATTAACCGACTGGTAGAAAATTGGGATTTACTGTTGTTGTGGTTGTTTTTCCAGCTCTTCCTTTTGGTGCAGTTGCTGTGGTTGAAGTTCGACTTCTTCTGACAGTTCCTGTCGGTAATGTTGTTGTTGCTCCATTTCCTTTAGCTGTTGTTGTTGCTGTAATTTGGGATGTAGAAGAAGCTGCTGAAATTTTAGTTGTTGTCGTTGTTGGCAAACTAGGTGATATGGTTGTTGTAGCTAAAACAGTTGTTGTCTGTCTACCTGGTGGACCTCCTTTTCTTCGAGTTGTTGTAGTTGCAATTGTTGTTTGGATTTTAGTTGTTGTCGCTAGAACTGGTGTTTGAGTTGCTGTTGATTGAGATGCTGCCAGAGTTGATGCTGATGTCCTACCAGGTGGTATAGTTGGTGCAATAGTTGTTTGGATAGTTGTTGCTGCTGGCTGTGATGGAGGCAAAGGTAAAGTTGAAGTTGTTGTTGGTGCTAAAGTTGTAGTTTTGCGTCCTCTTCCTTTAGTTGTTGTTGAAGTAGTCGAAGTGGTTGAAAGCGTTGTAGAAATTGTTGAAGGTGTTGTTGAAGTTGTTGAAGGTGTTGTTGTTGAAGTTGTTGAAGTTGTTGATGGTGTTGTTGTGGTTGTTGTAGGCGTTGTAGAAGTTGTTGAAGTAGTTGAAGTTGTTGAAGGTGTTGTAGAAGTTGTTGAAATTGTTGAAGGTGTCGTTTTGGTTGTTGTAGAAGTTGTTGAAGTAGTCGAAGTGGTTGAAGGTGTTGTTGAAGTTGTTGAAGTAGTTGAAGGTGTTGTAGAAGTTGTTGAAGGTGTTGTTGAAGTAGTTGTGGTTGTTGTAGGCGTTGTAGAAGTTGTTGAAGTAGTCGAAGTGGTTAAAGGCGTTGTAGCAGTTGTTGAAGGTATTGTTGAAGTTGTTGAAGTAGTTGAAGTTGTTGAAGTAGATGAAGGTGTTGTAGAAGTTGTTGAAGGTGTTGTTGTGGTTGTTGTTGAAGTTGTTGAAGGTGTTGTTGTGGTTGTTGTTGAAGTTGTTGAAGGTGTTGTTGTGGTTGTTGTAGAAGTTGTTGAAGTAGTCGAAGTGGTTGAAGGTGTTGTAGAAGTTGTTGAAGGTGTTGTTGTGGTTGTTGTAGGCGTTGTAGAAGTTGTTGAAGTAGTCGAAGTGGTTGAGGGCGTTGTAGAAGTTGTTGAAGTTATTGAAGTAGTTGAAGGTGTTGTTGAAGTTGTTGTAGGCGTTGTAGAAGTTGTTGAAGTAATTGAAGGCGTTTTCGAAGTAGTTGAAGTGGTTGAAAGTGTTGTAGAGGTTGTTGAAGGTATGAAAGTAGTTTTTGAAATTGTTGAATCTTCTATTGACATTTCTCGAGCATAACTTAATGTTGTTTCCTCAGTAGATGCCATTTTATCTGTACATCCACAATAGCTGTCACCAACGCTGCTGATTTCAGTTAAAACAGTATAAATCATTATTATAGCATACTTAATATCATTTAAATATCCAGTAAGTAAATTAGAAGCATATCCCATAGAATTACAAGCACTTTGAAGTGCATTGCCCTGCACAGCATTCAATGTCAAATTAACAGTTCGAACAGTCACATTTACAGCGGCTAAATAAGCATTCAAGGTCGTCAAATTCGAATAAATTTGCGTTGAAATTTTCTGATATTCATAAAACAAGCACAACACTAATGTCCGTCGCTTTTGCCACTCGTCACAGGAAGTCTTTTTTCCGGCATTTATTTTCGTGTAATCGGAAATTGTTGACGTTTTTGCGAGGAATTCTGACAAAAATTGCAAACTTCCAGCAACCGAGCATGTTTTTGGACTAACTGGAATTTGTGAAATTGCTGCTTTTACAGCTGAGCCTGCAGCCAGCAGTGCTGCACGTGTCCTTGTCTGATCCTTCTCAAGTGGTCGCTGGATATACGCAAGGTTTGATTCCAAAGTTGAATCTTCTTTCGTTTCCGTTCCACAACTGCAATAAACTTTTTTGTATGCATTTAAATTGGACATGACATAAGTCTCGTTATTGTAAGCCACGCCAAGGTAGTAGACATAATAATTGTATTCACTGGCAATAGCATAATATCCACTTAATACAGCAACATAATTTGCAACTTGAGATCCTGTCAAAATTCCATAATTTAAACTATAATAATAAGTCACGTAATTCATCTTTGTTGTTAGTGTTGTCAAGTTCTGCGTTGCCTGCCTACTCAATCCTAAAATCTTTTGCAATTCAAACTTTATGCTTGATATTTTCATATTAATATCTGCACAAGTTGACAAGGTTTTGGATGTGTCAAAATTTGAGACTGTACTGAAATCCATCAAAGTAGTTTTGTAGCTGTTTGCTGCTGTTGATAAAGCTGGCGCTGGACCTAAAATTGAAGAAACAAAAATATGAAAAAGATGCACAAAAGTGACGCAAAAAGGATGCAGAAAATTGATGCGAAATTTTTTTAAAAAAGTTGATGCAAAAAGTTGACTCGAAAAAGATGCAGAAAAATGATGCGAAAAAGATGCACAAAATTTATGCGAAAAAATGCAGATAATTGATGCATAAACTAGACACGAAGAAGCTGCAAAAAATGATGTGAAAAAGGTGCAGAAAACTGAAGCAAAATGATGCAAAAAATGACGCAAATATGATGCAGAAAAATGACACAAGATAAGATACAAAAAGTGACACGAAAAATTTAAATCCACAAACCTACCTTCACTCAGCTTGTCCACATCTCCAGCAGATGAGCTCAACAATTTTGACAATTTTGCTTCTCTTGCTTTCATTGCTGCATTTGTGTCCCACAACATTTGATCTAAAGTCGCGATTGGAATTGACTGAGACGTGGCAAGTGCCAGAAATGACACACAAAAAATCCAGAAATAATTTCTGATCATTTTCGAAATGCTCAGGAAAAATAATGGCCATGACTGTGCGAATTTTGATTTATTTATAGTTCAAAATTATTTTTGTTGTAGTTTGAAATGTTAAAGGAAGTTGTGAACATATGAGCTTTTTGATTTAGGTAAATTTGTGATGTGCTAACATTTAAGACGCATTGCACAGCAAAAAGTGGCTCAAAATCAACACAAAAGTCCCCCGAATTTCAGCTATTAGCTACTCTAATGATATTTTTGTTGCCACATTGATGAATGTGATTTCAAGTTTAAATTAAGATCTACACGACAAGATAGTCCGGATGAGGGTGAAGTCAGGATCTATTAAGAGATTCCTGATACCAAAATACCAAGAAATGAGAAAATTTATAGAAATTAGTCATTCTTGAATCAAGATGGAACGACTACCTGTAATATGTCTGATGATCACTGAGTAACGAAAGTGATGCAAAAGTGATGCAAAACTCCAAATGGTGCAAAAGATACAAAACTCAAAAAAGATGCAGAACTCAAAAAGATCCAACACTCTAAAAGATGCAATGCTCAAAAAGATGCGACGCCAAATAAGATGCAAAATTGCAAAAAAAAACAGAACTCAAAAAGACTCAATATCAAAAAGATGCAAAACTACAAAAGAAACAAAACTTCATCTTTTTGAGTTTTGCATCTTTTGAAGTTTTGCATCATAACTTTAAAAGATGCAAAACTTAAATGAAGATGCAAAATTCAAAAATGTTGCAAAACTCAAAAAAGATGCAAAACTCAAAAAAGATGCAAACTTCAAAAATTCAACCAAAAAGCGCATCAAAAACAAAACAATCGACACCAATTCAGCAAGCAAGTCGTTTAGCAATGACTAAATGTCATTTGAGGAAGAGAAAATGTCGATTGATGGTGTAAATGGATAATAATGGATATAAATATCCATTCATGCTCACTCACAGTCACACACACACACATATATAGACATCCATAATAAATGGATGAATGAAGAACATTAAAATGAATAAATGAGCAAGGAAATGGGAAATGAAAAAAGCGAGAAAAGGCACGAAGGAAGTGGACGATAATGAATGTGAAATGGCTTTAATGGACGAACTCAATGAAAGATTTGAGATTTTTTTTATGCTCTGTGAATTTTTTTCCTTTCTTAGCTCCTTCGTTGTTGTTTTGGAAAGGAATTTTGTGGAGATTTAATTCGTCATAATTAAAATTTTCGAGAGTCTAATGGGCTTGTTGTGGAGGTCGTGGGTGGAATAATAAAGTTATTAAGATATTTTAAGGTTAATTTTGACTGTAATTAACATTTTCCTTCTTTTTCATTTCTGCATCTTTTTTATTTTTGCATCTTTTTCATTTTTTCATCTTTCTTATTTTTGCATCTTTTTAATTTTTTCATCTTTTTTATTTTTGCATCTTTTTTAAAACTTTTTTGCATCTTTTTTACAACTTTTTTGCATCTTTTTTACAACTTTTTTGCATCTTTTTTTTTAAATTTTTTGCATCACATTTTGCATCTTTTTTGCATCACTTATTATGCATCTTTTTTTGTATATTTTTTGAATCACTTTTTTGCATCATTCAAATCAGTTTTTTCAAATCATCCTCAAAATGTAATCTTGAACCATCAAACAATGAAATTCACGGAGAAGAAAAGCAAAACAAGGCGAGAATTTAGTGCGAAATTCCATCATAAAATAGTACGTGCATTATCTGTTGCGTGCTATCAGCCATCAATGGAATTAAAGTGAGCATGTTAGACGAACGACGAGAGTGTGTGAGAATGTGGAGTGAAAAAAGGGTCGAAGGAGCTTTTTTCCACTGAGCAGCAGTCACGCTTTAATCATGAAAATGGAATCGGTCGCGAGGGAATTTATGTGTTTGTGTTGTTCCTTAGAAAATGGATGTATGCGGGAGATGGAGGGACATTTTTGTGAGATATATGCATAGGAGCATGTGTGTAAGCGTTGTTATGTCGCATTTTACAGCTTTTTTTTTTTGTTATTTCTTGTCATTCCAATGTTCATGTCGTGCGAGACGAGCTTTTGGTTGTCATTTGGACTGATTTTACTTTTTTTATATTCACACCGTTTTTAAGGTGTGAATGTTTTGTTTTTGTTCAGATTGAAAAATCAGTTTTTTGAATTTTGTGAAGATATGGAGCAAAATAGCTTAAAATGTTTAGAGATGAAAAGTTTGTGCCTTAAATTTCACATCTTATGCAAGAACAGATTTCAAATTGGTTGCGGCATTGCTGAGAAAATCGCAAAATACGTTTTCAGTAAGCAAACAAGCAAGCAAGCAAGCAAGTTAATCAGCAAGAAATCTCAATTACGAGACATCGTAGAGAATTCTAGCTTTTTACATTTGATCCGTGCTGCTCTATAGAAGAGCTGTATTGTTTTTGGGCAAGGTAGGAACAGCCGTTGCTTCAGAAAAAGCAAAAAACTTTCCTTTCTTACGAATTTTTCAAATTAAAAGTTCACTGTGATTTTTTTTAAATTAAACATTGGATGAAAAAAATTTTTTTGAACAGAGAACCAAGTAGGAAATACAATTTCAATTTTGGACTAGGGGCGACCCTAGTCAAAATCAATTTTGTCACTTTTTTCTTCGAGGCTTTATACAAATGGATTGAAATTTTGCATAAATATTCTAGTGCTTCAAACGAATACAAATAAAACATCCTTAAATAGTTAACTAGGGTCGCCCCTAGTCTAAAATTGAAATTGTATTTCCTACTTGGTTCCTTGCTCAAAAAAATTTTTGAATATTTTATTTGAATTTTTTTTAGGCACTTGAATATGTATGCAAAGTTTCAATCCATTTGGATAAACCCTCGAAGAAAAAAGTGAGAAAATTGATTTTGACTAGGGTCGCCCCTAGTCCAAAATTGAAAATGTTCTTTGCTCAAAAAAATTTTATGGATTTTTATATGAATTGACATAATTCTGACATAAATCACATACCAATATTACTTTTTGTAGTGCATAGCTTAAAAAAAAACGAGAACTAAAATTTCGACTACCCCGTCTGAATTTTGTTCATATATCTTTTGAACTGTGTCGATATGGGTCTCGGCCGTACTTCACGCCCACCCTTGAAACTTATGCTGAGCAAATCTTGGTCTATCCATAAGACTTTTGATGTTACGGTGTGAATATATCCGCATTGTTTTTCTACCCGATACACAAGTTTGCTTGAAGATTGCTTTAAGAGACGTAGGAAAATTTGGGGAAATTTTGTTTAATTGGGCACAAGAACATATCTTTAGCTTGTTCCTAACAAAACACGTGCATGCTCCTATAAAACCTGCACATAAGCATGCTGAACAACAAGCATTCCAAACACAACTGCAGAAAAATAAACAAATTTTTTTCAAAATAATTTTTTACCAATATGTAATGTGAGTAGCAGAGAATTTTCATGGTCAAATCAAGTTTTTTTAAGGAAAAATCAGAATTTTTTAGACTCAACCTCCTCAAGAAAAATTTAATCAAATTTAATTGGCTTCAACTTCCTCGGAAAAATATGAAAAAAATTCCTCACAGTTAATTAAAATTCTGTGCAAATTTTTTAATTATTTTCCTGCTGTGAATCTATGAAGCCGATGAATCTTGACGAGAATTTCAATTGTGATGAGGAAGTTTTCAGCTTTTGAGAAGATCCCTTGCAAGAATTTCGTCAGATTTTGATCTGTTTCAATGTGTTGAATTTGTTCCTTCTGTCTAAGGGTGCAGAACTCATTAAAATGAGTTAAAATGAAATTTAAAACTAAAAGTCTCTTGTTGTTTCCAATTCCAAAATTTTGGGGCTGCCAGACATCCAACCAGTCAAAGTAGATCTATAATCGCATTGTTTCCAAAAGAAAATGAGCTCAGAATTATAAGTGTCCCTTAGTGTTTTTCTGTTCGAATTTCAAATCTGCAAGCCAGCCATCCATCAAACAAGCCAGATTGGGCCTTTTTTTTCTATGAAAAATACACAAAAACAGCCAAATTGTCTTGTATATTTTAATATACAGTAATATTTTTTTGTTCTTAATCATGAATCCGTAGAAAAAGTTTCTGATAAAGGCGCATGGTCGAAAAGTTTATAGCAAATTTGAAGGAACAGAGCACACAAATCTACTAAAAAATCAACGAACATCCAAAAAAAGTTTGTGCTACTTCATCAAAATTTATGAAAATGAGATGAAATATTTTTAATAATTTTATTTTTGCACTTAATGTAATTTAAACATACAAAAAAATCGTGCTGACTAAGACAATAAATTGAAACTTTTTCCTATTCAATGTTTACTTTTTTTAAAACAATCCATTTTGGAAGAGCGAGTTGGTTAAAGTTTTTGCAGATTTTTTTATTTTATTTTTTAATGGTTATCAAAAAAAGTTTCGGAATGTAAATTTTAAGCGCATTGCAATTTTTTTTTTGATTGCCTCATCTTACTAGAATCCGTGATTTGATCACTTTTTGGCTG